TTATTCTTTCACAATGCAGTCATTTTTACTGCTTTGGGCAATATAGGTACATACTAAGTTTCAGTCTTTCTAGTGTTAACGACGTCCCCTTGAAACCGAAAAGACTCACTTAGATTTTTCTAAATACGAATATACGCTTGAAATTCAAAGTGTAAAAAGAAAAATTGACGAGGTACTCAGGTTTCATTGAAATCGTCAGGTGAGACTAGATCGAAACTATTCATGGTTCTACTATGAAATTTCATTCGTCAGATCTCTTGATAGACGGCACTCAAGAGTATAAAACTTATGAACGACTATATTGGCATGTGAACAGACGCGATCGGACAGTAAATAAAATTCTCTATTTCCGACGTCAGCTCGTTTCACATGCATAGTTTAAAACTTCGTATTAACCCGGATACCGTTCTGGGGATTGGCTAAGGTTCGATCCGACGTTAAATCGGATCGCTTGGGAAGGTTCCATCAATTTTTATTACCCCGTCGACGATAATTTCAAATGGATTCGGCGATCACTTCTCCCAAAGCCACGGCCTCTGGATCGATATGCATAATTAAAACGCTTAAACGTGATAAGTAGAGATCTGTGTAGTGGCCAGTAATCAACCAGTTGAATGCGGTCTACGTTCGTTACACGGACATTGTCCACTCGGGACGAGCCATATCGATGATGCTTCTTTCTCGATCCGCACTCAACGCGTTAAAAGTTGTACGATGATCCGATCGATCGATCATCCCCCGCGTGTAGTCAGTCTAGATAGCAAGTCCTTAGGGACTCGTTTAATTGCTATTGTAATTGATTGTTACACCGAAGAACGTTTACCGATCCGAGTAATTGGAAACTAATTGATTGTTGGATCAACTGTTAAAATAATTGGACATTCGAGTATACATGGTCAACCAGCACGAGAGTTATTCAACAATTTTGTATTATATTGAATTAACTTTTTTGAAGATTTCAGAGATCAATCAATGTATTGATTAATTTTTTATACTGTAA